TAGCCAGTCGATGGTCGATAGGAAAGCAAGCAGCCCTGAGAACCTTGGGGGCTAGGAAAGGCAGGTACGACTATCCTCAAGCCTAAACAAAGGAGAAACGGCTTAAAAAGAGAAAAATAAATAATAAAAAGTTAAAACAAAGTTTAAAGTACGTATCTCAAGGATACGACCATGCCATGTAAGAGAGATCCGAGGCACCTCAGTAGCTGCCGCAGGATCCACTACCCAAGTCGCCTTGCCCATGGCTCTAAGCATACGGGCATACGACACCTCCTCCCAGTTCAGATTACTTACTTTCCCTAAGTCTATGAGGAAAGTGAGTAACCCGATAGGGAAACGCTCTCCCCGATCACTCAAGAGAGTGACGGAAAGAATGTGGGCAATGTATATCCAAGCCAGCTGCTCAAGTGTGCACTGCCAGTCAACCTCGTCATCCTACAACTCTTCGGCAAGACTCGAGTACGAACAAGACTAAGGATTTATGTAAAGGATCGCCGCTAGGCGATCCCCCACAAGGTCTCTTAGTCTCAAGTCCTGCCCTGTTACGACCTCTATATATCACTATAGGCTCACCTACAAAAGGAAAACCCGTAATCATAGAGAAGTCGTAAGGGGTGACTGTCATCTCTCCCCACGGAAAGTGAAAAGTGTTGGTGGAATCCCACCAAAACTCCAGCAGTCCGCGGAGGAAAGCTGACGAAGCAGACTGACTCAACAAATCCCGAAGAGCCGCTAGCGCGCGACCGATTTCTAAAAGCTCCACGATCTCCTTTACCTTGTAGGATAAGCTCTCAAAATGAGTCCGCATGTCACCAGAGCCATATAGACGCATGCTAGACTCACTCTAAAAAAAAGAGAGATAAGAGAGAGAGCCAAAACAATAAAAAAACGGTTTTTTTGAAAGAAAACAGGGAAAGTGAAAAAAAAAGAGAAGGCGTAAGAAACTCACAATGTCTCGCCACCCTCGAACCGAGACGTGATGGTCTGGATCCCACTTAAGGACCCTAGGGTCCCAGTCGGGAGGAGCCTCCCAGATCACATCCTCCTGGCGGCGTCGATCAGCAGCGGCGTGTCGCTCTCGAACCTCCTCACGAGGCCGAGTCACCTTCTTTTGAGGGCGAACTACCTCGTCTGGGCCGCCTAGGATCTCCTCCGCGTCAACAAATGGAGGCGAATCCATGCTATGATAGGCGAGATTTTTCTATTAGTTCATTTTTTTCCTAAACTAATAATCGTGTTCTAGATCCATTTCGGCAGCATAACGGCTGCCGATAGGACAAAACACAAAAATCGAATGCCACCCATACTTGGGGAGCTATGATACCTGCAGTCAAACTCAGTAAATGGGGGCTTTTAACACCCACAAAAGCCATCCTATACCAGTTTCAACTAAGTATTCAAGGGATTATGTTTCAAAATCTCAAAGAATAAATTATTCCAAGACGAATAATAGTAATACCAATAAAATTATCGTCTACCAAACAATCTTGAAGTTCGAATATGGCAAATACAAGCTAAGTATACACTTCGCGCCATTTTTTCAATTTTAAAATTTGCAAAATGTGAATTATGAAAGTAATACTAGTTCTAATACTACAAACTACTTCATAATCAACAAGTATAACCAAAATGAACAAGAAAAGCAACAGATTTGAGCAAAATTCGAACAAAAAGAGCAAGAACGAACTTAAACAAAGAAATGCTCATACAAGGTTCAATACTTAACCATTTTTCATGAAATTTGTTGCAAAACACTCCTTAAACATAGCATAACAACATGGAACAAACAATTTCAAGCATAATGGACCGAATAAAAAAAATCCCAAAATTCAAAATTTGGGGTTTTACGATTCGAAAAACGCTCAAATGCCAGCCAAGTATGAACAAATTTAAGCAAAAAACTTACATTGGATTATGGCAAATGTGAATTAAGATCGAGATTTGCTTCCTTCAGCTTCAAAAATCGCGAAAAATGGAGCTCTTTAGAGTTAAAAAGAGTCGAAAATGGAGGAAGGAAGGAAAGAGAGAGCGAAATGAAAAATCGCATTCGCAATTTTCTTTTTGATGAACTGAGTGTCGCGCGCAACTCCAGAAGTTGCGTGTGCCATTGCAGCGCAACTCAGAACGATGCGCAGGCCTGGCCAGCGCTACCCACTAAGTTGCGTGCGAATACTGGTCACTAAAATGATCGGTATCTGGATTTTTATCCGTTTGATCAATTTTTCAACGGTTTTTGCTCGTTATAAGACGTAATGGCGCGCAAATTATCATAATCCTTTTTTAACTGCTTTGCATTTGTAGTTTATTTTCTTCATTGATAGTTTTTTTCATCATTTTGCATGCACACCGTGCTTTGTGCCTTCCCCAAGCATACGTTTTGAACGTTTTTCGTAAGCGTGCCTTAAGACGTTCCGTGGTGGTGCTTTACGTAAAAGCACCCATAGACAGGTTTGTCATTTTACTGTACTGACGTTATAAATGTCCGGGTTTTCTTCTTTTTCACATCCGAAGCAAAAGGAAGGCATTTTCATGCAGCGTAAAAATGCAAATGGCGTAGCGTACATCGTAAAATTGTACGGCGTACGTGTTGCGTAAAATTTCACCTCAGCCCAAGCTTTACGAGATCTACCTCTTGGAACTAAAAGGTAGACTATTTATTGTAGCCGTTAGCTCACGAATCAACAGGCGCGCCGAACCTTCAGTAACAGGCACTTCGTGAATGGAAGCAAATACAGTAGTTAGTGAGCTTACTAACTTACCGGACAGTTAGGGTGTCCGTCCACCCCCTGTATAAAGAGCGACGAGAGAGTGTCGTACCCATGTAGTCACGTGCCCCCAGTCCTGAGACACGTGTACTCATCTTGTGGACAAAACTGTTGAGAGAGTTTCTAACTTTCTTCTCTCTCACTGGATTTGGATATATGCCTCCAGTCCTGAGACATGTATTTCTATCTTGTGGACATCTGGTATATCCGGTTCGAATACCGGACTCGGCTCAAATGCCGGACCCTTTTCGGTTCGAATATCGAAAACCCTTTTTCATTCTTTTTTCTTTGTTAAAGTCAGGCTAAAGTTTCAATGACATATCGAGGGACTTTAGATCAACGATGACATGATTGAGAGGAAATCATCCCCTTTTATTCTTTTTAAAACCGATCTTTTCTCATGACTTGACATCACCCATAATACATTTACTGGTAAAAGTATTCTACAATTGCAAAGGATCAATCTAGATTCTTTAGCGCGTTAAGACTAGGGAAAGCTTTCTCTAGCCTTAATAGCTACTTGTTTCAAACACTTAGCAAACCGAGGACTGTTTCGACATCCTTAAACGTTACTGAAAGATTCTCTAATCTTAGAGAACTTCGCAGAATGAGTCTCGGATTTTTCCTTGACTACTTTGATCATCGTCTATCTTAGACTCGATCAAAGTGGGGGCTAACTGTAGACATCTACTTTTGGCCTCCTGTCCCAACAAGAAGTGCAATGACAATAAATAAAGTCATCTTCGTGTTGGATCAAAGTGGAGAATACTTATGGATAACTGGTTAAGCCACAAAACACAAAAGACTAGCCCGAATAAAAGAACAAGGCCAATACAAGGTCTAAATAACTAAACCCGATCATATTAGGGCTTAAGCCCGTGCTAAAAACCTAATAATGACGAATTTAGGAGCGTCTAGGTTAAAATTTAAGCTGCTGCAGAAAATGTCGCGCGCATCTCACAAAGTCGCGCTCAACTATTGCGCGCAACTTATTCAATTGCGCGCAGCACTTCGCGCAACTTCTGGAGATGCGCTCGCGAAAGATTCAAAATATCAAAATATTGGGAAATTGAATCTTACCATAGAGCCGCGCGCAAGACAAATAACTGCGCGCATCATCTGCGCGCGACTTATTTACTTGCGCATGACAGCCACGCGCAACTCATCCAGTTGTGCGCGACACCTGCTGCGGCAGAATGCTCTTAACCCTAAACTTAATCATTCCCTATAAATATAAGACCCTAATTCGAGGCTTAAACACACAGAAAATAACCTAAAACGCTGGCAGAATACTTGTGAACTTGTGCTTCCTAACCCTCTTGTCCTAAACACTCACCCCTTTAATACCTTGTTACTACGGTGGAGGTTCCCCAAAAAGAAGGAATCCATAAGTTTTCTAAATGGAGATCTAGCAAAGAGAAGTGGTAAATTCCCGAGCACTTAGTTAAATCACGTTTATTTTCTTGTTTAAAAGAACCTTAATAAATTAATTAGTGTTTTTTTATCACCTTTAAAATAATTAAATAATTAATTCCATGTAGTATCTTTCGTTAAATAAAGATAAGAATTGAATAAAATAATTGTTGGTTGATCACTTAAGGCAAGGCGAATATTGTTTACTTTCTTGTTCTTTTCACGAATCTAATTAAATAAGAATAACGACCTTACGATGTAATTCCTACATGAATTGATGTGTGTAAATAAAATCAACTAACATAGTTTTAGGTATCACGTTACATATATTGTTTGGTGATGAAATTGTGCAAAGGAAGAGCTAGTAGAGGCCGTACTAGGGCTAGGATCGCGATTCCCCTCTAAAGGGAACGTTATCTTAGTACCCTCGCTCCCGAACTCATTTCTAGTTTCATGTAGACAAATTTGGGCATGGGTAAACTTATGATTCATGCTAAATATCCCTTGAACTCTACTTGGGAGAAAGGCATGAACGAGGTTTATGGGTTTTCCTAAAACCCATTGGCGATTCCTACTTGTTCCTTACAAAAAAGCGTGTATGCTAGAATCATTTCTAATTCAAGGTCCCCCAAACAGTCAGGAATTCAAATCCTAATACACCCTAATAAGTGTAAAGTCCTAGGCTTAAAAAGGTCCATGGGCATTTAAGAAGAGTACCCCTTAGACGGGATCACCCTCCTTACACAGATGCGAGTTTCCAAACAGATAGAGATAATTTCAGATCACAATCAAGATACATTTTTTGTCTGAATGGTGGAGCAGTGAGCTGGAAGAGTTCGAAGCAAAGCACTGTTGCAGACTCTACAACAAAATCAGAGTATTTAGCTGCTGTTGAAGCAGCTAAGGAAGCAATTTGGATTAAGAAGTTCCTAACTGAGCTGGATGTCATACCAAGTGCTCAAAATGGAATCGAGTTATAATTGTGATAACAATGGAACCATTGCTCAATCAAAGGAGCCTAGGTCACACTTCAAATCCAAACATGTAGAGAGGAAATATCACCTCATTCGAAAGATCGTTGACAGAGGAGATGTCAAGACGTGCAAAATTCATACGGATGAGAATATTGCTGATCCACTTACTAAACCCCTTCCACTTCCAAAGCATGAGAAACATGCTTTTGAATCTGGATTGAGCAAAATAATGTAATTAGAAGTTGTATTTGTTTTTGGAGAAAAATAAGTTACATATGAAATACATTCATTTGCAGAATTATGTTTAATCAGAAATTTTATTATTTCTTTTATTTAATGATGCTTTTTGATATTAAATAAAATGTCCAAAATACTTATGGATTGATGGGCTCATTAGGTTGATGACCTAGTGAATGAAACCCCACAGGTGAACAAAATCCATATATTATTTTAGTTCCTAGTTCAGAATAATTAAACTAGACATAAGTGATTTCTTAAATTGGACTAGCATGTAAGATTGATTTCTTAAAATTTCAAGTATAGAACTTCCAGATATATTAGTTGATTCCTTTGACATGAATTGAATACTGATTCCATTCAATGATTGATTTAACTGTGGTACACTCAAACGTCCAGCCATAACTGGGGATTATAAAGGGTTTCTTGGTTGCTTCATGAGTTGAGTGGGAGCTTTGGTTGCCTCAAGATTGGATTGAGTCTACCTATTTAATTAGGAATGTGTCTTGGCCCCTTAAAGAGGGAGAATTCAGAAAATGCATGGTCGTGCTCAAATGCATTACATAGTAATCATTTGTTTTGTGAATCTAACTCAGTATTTCAAGAAATGATTTGTAGACTAATATGATCACGACATGAGATGCAATTATAGTATCAAATCGACACACATTGACTTAAAGAATTTGAATATTGCGCACTTGTCTCAGACAAGTGGGAGATTGAAGGAGTTATGTCTTCGATAAGTGCAATTACTAGATATATCAAGGATCACGATTATGGAGATAATTAGTTCATTCTATAGGGTCGTCAATGTTTGGTGCTAGATATGACAATTGATTTTTGGGCTAGCTTAATGGCCCAAAGCCTTATAGAATGGATCCTACAAGGTCACACATAAGAGTATTGGGTTAAACAAGTTAGAGGCCCATTATTAGGCCTCATGAGTTCATGACATACCATTTTGAGGATTGGACTTGGATAGTTAGAAAAGTCTAATGAGTTTTGGACTTAACATGGTTTTATTTCTAGATATGATCTATGAATATAAGCCATGCCTAGGGTTGCATGACACAACAATTGACATACAGTAAATTGTCACACAAGCAACCAAGCTTCCCAAAAACTCTAACTCTCTATCTCTCTACTCGGCCCCCTCTCTCTCTTCCCTGTCCGTACGGCCCTCCTCCTTGGGTGGCGCGTGGGTGGTGTTATGGTGTGTTTGTGGCTCAAATCTCCGTTGAAGGTTGATTAAAGTGTTCAGTCATAACTAACTAGCATTAGTGAAGGTTTAATCTGTGCTCGTGGACTAAGTAGAGGAATCACACGTGGGGTTCTTGTTCTCCTTATTGTTCTTGTTCGATCACTTTTGGAATCACGCTTCAAAGGTATAATTCTTACTTCTTTATGTGTTATGAATGAGATCCTTGGTTTAGGTGCGTTATGAATATGATTCATATATTTCCGAAATTTAGTACCTATAATCTCCTACAATTACTTCTTATGAGGTTCGTCATTAGAAGTTCGCATCTCTTAATAGGACGTCATCAATATGTTTATTCTTAAACATGCCTATTTTCGTATTCATCATTTTTTTGTTGTAATTGGTCAACCTTGATTTAAGATTATAATTTATTTACCTCTTCTTTGGTTTAAAAAGAAAATCCCGAGAACTTTACTTGGGATGATTGCCTCACACAAAAAAAAGGGAGAAAAATAGAAAGAAAAAAACGAAATGTCGTTCTTAAAAAAAAAGAGTATGATATATATATATATATATGTACATATATATATATATATATATATATATGTACATATATATATATATATTATATATATATATATATATATATATATATATATATTAATATATATATATATATGTACATATATATATATATATATATATATATATATATATTATATATATATATATATGTACATATATATATATATACATATATATATATATATGTACATATATATATACATATATACATATATATATATATACATATACATATATACATATATATACATATACATAAGGATACAAAAAAAGAGAAGTAAAACAATCATTTTGACTTTGGTTCATTGTTTGAATGCTTGTCAGAAAAAGTTTAAGTGAACGCGCTCAATTTCTCGTGACACACACTACTAGGTCATCATATTCCACATTCGCATACTAATCCAATCATGGGTGACAAAGCAGCATTGGAGAAACTTATATAGGAACTCCAAAACCTAAAGGCCCTACGAGAAGAAGAAGCCCAATTAAAGGCTCATAAAAAAGCAAAAAAGGCTAAAATAAAAGAAGAGAAAGAAAAAGAAAACATTCTGCAATAAAAAGCAAGAGCCGAAAAGCTAGAGGCCTTGGAGAAACTTATCATTCGAGTTAGCTCAGGGACTAAGTACTTCAATTATGAGCTTGCACCAAAAACTTGTGGCAAGACTCTCCTAGAAAATTTCTTGACTACGGATTTTCCAACCTTTAAGGTTACAGAAAATCCTAGGGCTCACTTAATGAGCTTTATTGGAATTATAGCATTGAAAGGGGTTGAGCAAAGCCTATATGCATGTACTTTTGCTCTTTCATTGGACCCAACTGCTAAATCATGGTTTTATAACCTCGATGTAAAACAAATTTCCACTTGGAATGACGTTATAAAAGCGTTTTTAACCCAATATGGAGATAACATCGAGCTCACAACTACCTTGCGCGATCTTGAATTGCTTAAGTAAGGGGAAAAAGAAGGCTTCATTGACTTCTTTTCCAGGTGGCGATCAAAGGTTGCTCTACTTTCACAAAGACCTCCAGATCATGAACTTGTCCCAAAGTTCATTGACAATATGTCTCCACCATACAAGTGCCATTTACAATACCTTGGTTTAGACACATTTCAAAAATTCTATACTGTGGGAACATTAATTGAAAGGGGCTTGATAAATGAAACCACTAATCATATAGATGGACTAGATTTTTAGAGAGGATTTCACCTACGTCGGAAACGGACAAAGCTCGAAGACGCGATCTCAAGAAGTTGTCAGCAAATCAAGATGTAGCACCCTAGGTCTTGTTTTGTTTCTTTCCTTTTTTTTTATGATAGATTAAGAGATTCATGCTGCCGAATCTACTGATTTTTTACTCTCGTTAATTAATGAATAAAAAATATATTTTCAAGTATGTCTATCTTGTTCTCTTTTTAATCTCTTTATTGTTATTGACTTGAATTAAATAAAACGTATACATACAAACAGACTATATCAAAAGGCATACTATAGGCGTCGTTCGAAGTGCGCCTACGTAAAAGCTTATGGTGAATATGCTTGGCACTCTTAGGAAGTGTGAATTCACATATACGATTAGGGACAAGGAAAGTAGGGTGCCGCCAACAAGTTTTTAAGGAACTTGTAAACCGTTCACGGATCATAAAAGGCAACCAAGAATAAGGGACAACGATAGGCAACAATGATTGACCCGTGAAGGTTACACCCCATTCATAATCCATGAGATTACTAACTCCATATGGTTCAGAACCTCGAAAGGAGGATCGAGGATGATGGTAAGAAGTGAGTCATGGAGTCACATTCGCCCGCTGTAGGGAATATTTCAAGCCTTATCCCTAGCTTGAACCCCACTGTGATCATACACTAAAGTACGGTGGCGTCCAAAGGGAAAGAAGATAGAGCAAAAGAGTCGCCAACAAGTTTTAGGAACTTGTAAACCGTTCACGGGGTGAAGGTTACACCCCTTAACCATCCAGGAGATCGCTAACTCCAATAGGTCTTGAACCATGACTGGTAGTTCGGGGATGAAGGTACAAATCCAACTTAAAAGAGATTGAACCTGCCTTAATAATAGGCCTCTAATTTATTTTGATCGTATTCATGTGCGCTTTTTGACTAACATACAATCAATAAATTTAACCCTAAACCTGTTTATCTATGTTGGTTGAATATTAGTGCACAAACAAATCTATTATTGGTGATCACTTGAGTTATAATCATATTAACCCTAAACAAGATTATTAATTATCTTATTAAGTGTGATTACAAGTACAAATTCCCTTTAAACATGCATAAAAGGTGTGATCAAGAAATAACAATAAATATATATCAAGCAACATAATAATAATCATTAATCATAACAATAATAATAATCATAATCATAATCATAATCATGATCATAATAATCACAATCATAATAATAATAATAATCATAAAATTATAATCATAAATCACGTTAAAGCATAATAATAGCAAGATCCTAGGCATGATACTAACAATATTAATAACAAACCCAAGCATGTCACTAAACAATAAAAATCAAAGCTTTAACCCTAACATGATACTAACATGAATATTAGGAAAGAAAATAGGAAGCATCGCAGGAATCATAATTATCATATTTGATATTAGAAATTATCCTAAACATGATACTAGGAAGATCAAAACACCCTAACATGACACTAGGAATCATAATACCAACCTAGACATGATTTCTATATCATAATATCAATTAAACCATTAAAGTACTTACTTGGATGCCTCGTATCTCTTTCTAATAACAAAATACACACGTTAGTAACTTCAAGGAAAATAATAAAATCAAACAATTAAATTAAATAATTGAAAGAGAGAATTGGGACCAAACCCCCAGAAATTAAAACCTTTCACGTCTAGGGCGAAGGCAACTTCGAATTATGCTAGGTATGTCTAGTGCTAATGTATGAGGAATTGTGTTTGTAAAAAGCTAGGCTAGAAAGAGAGAG